CCCCAAATAAACACCCATCACAATCAACCATAGCTTTTGGGAGTCTGGAAAGCCGCTCTTGTTCAAAAACCCCCCTAGTGAATTGGTTGGCAGGGTTCAGGGCCCAGATTTCCTGTACGACGGCAAGAATGATGAAACACCTCATCAACACCACAAGAACAACAACCAGTAAGTGGCCGATAATTAAGATTTTAGGGTTTAGGGTTTAGGTTTCATGTTGTAACATAACACCGTCTATGCGACCGGGCTGTGGTCTGTATGTTCAGTCTGTTTGTACTTCAGACAGACAGTATCTCATATATGCTGTGGTACTGTGTGTTGTTTTAGTTCTGTGGTTGGAGGATGTTCACAGTGACATCGAGCGAGAAAACATCGTATTTGAACATCTCTTAGGTGTGTGTGTGCCCTGTACGTGGTCCTCGGCTTTCAATTAGGTTCATGTTTCGGCACTTCTTCCTCATTCGCGGCTGTCCCCATGCTTGCCCTGCCATATTAAAGTCCGGTCAGTACCCCTTCCGCTTCAAGCATTGCCAGACCCCAATCGCGTATTATACTATACATTAATGTACTGATCTGTATCGAGTTTGTCGCTGAGACATTACAATATAGCTCTTGTCCTGTTTTCAGACATATGCTAAACACTGTACCCTGTCCCATGTCACAGGTCACGCGAACAGAGCCGACGGCCTCGCGACCACGACCGATCAAACAGAGGGCACAACCGCAGCCGATCACCTAGGCCAAGATATGAAGCGTCACGGGACGATCCCGAGTATGTATACACATATGTGCGTTGGTATATGCTCACAACCCCTTGTTGTGTGGTCAGTGGTATTGCTCGTGTGTGTGTATGTGAAGGCTGTTGGCTCGTTCAGGTCCGCTTGACTTGGACTTGTGTTCGCCAACTGCGTGGCATACCAAATGGACCAGCTGTGGACGTGCCAGATATAAACGTATCAAGGCACTAGATATACCAGTCCCTGAAAGTAGAAGGTGATGTAAGCCAGTCATACATACATAACTATATAGCGTTACAAAACGCATATCTTCAACAGATAATAGTTGAGTACCTGCACGTCCTGAGGTGTCGCCCACGGGCCCTCGTATGCGTATGAAAGTTTATTATGTAAATTGTGTGTTATTGAAGGATCAATCGTCATCAGAGTCACCCTTCCTATCTCCCTGGCTTACTTTTGAACCCCCGAGTTGCCGTACTATTTTTCAGTTATGTTGTGTTGTTATCGGTCGAGCAGGGGTATATTCGTCCAAAGTTATTGCAATGGAGTGAGAAACGGATGTGCGTTCGATGTTCGGTATTGTACACTGAGAGCCAGTGTCTAGATCTGATGGCTGTATCCTATCCTCGTTTTCAGGAGGGTCCACAATAACTACCTCCCCAAATCCGGGTACAAAAATTTGGACAGCACTCGCGAGAATACAGACAAGGAGTTCTCATACAAACGGGACAAAAGCCGACACAATGACAAACGCAGCCACTCTAGGGGACGTGACCAGCACCGGCCCAATAACCGAAACGGACAGCACCCCAACAAGTACTACAAAGGATATCAGAACACCCCCAATCAAGGCAACAACCCGAGTGGCAATGTCGAAGGAACCCGCCCAGGCGGTAGGGATAAGAGCAACACACTGGCGGTTGAGTGAGAGGAGAATATTCGTGAACTTGCACTTATAGCTATCTCAGAAATTGGGCCAGGCAGACGCATACTTGGTACAATACAGGACCACAATGAATGAATGGGGTATAGTGCACCGGGTGTTGGATAGCAACAGATGGAGAGTGGTTTCACCTTAAAAGACCTGAGCTATGTTTAATACATTATTCAACCGACCCAGATGGATATATATATATATACACACACACATATATATATATATATATAATATATATCAACGTGCGTAGCAGAGAATGAAGTTTCGCTATGCCTTGCTCCCCATCCGCGGGCCGTAGCTATTTATGCATACTATGAAGGAACAGTCTTTAACATAACTTAAAAGTCAAATGGAAATAAGGCAACGCGCTCTAACTTCAGGCTTTTCTTCTGAATCATACCTTCGTACGAATGCATATGGTATCATCACGCGTGCCTATGGGTATAACCCGTCTAAAATGATAGCTTCCGTGCGTCAGGATGTACAGATGGGTTCTTTTGGCGTATCATAACCATTAACAAATATACCATGCATCTGCATATATATAGATATATATATATGTTTATGTATATATATATATATGTTTATGTATATATATATATATGTG